CCCTGTCAGGGCTCTAGTTGATACTGGAGCTACAGTTTCCTTAGTTCGATCTGATGTGCTTACACGTGTTCGCATGGATAGTATTTTTAAACCCAAAAGACTACCTAACCTGCTGACAGCAAACGGAGATCGGATGGCCACATTCGGTCTAGTTATTTTGCCGTTAGTTTTCCCTACTAGCACTAAAGAACACACATTTGTTGTTAGCCCAAACGTGACGTGGGATATTTTACTGGGCGTCGATTTTCTGGTCCAGTTTAATTGCCATCTAGATATCCGTGAACGTGTCCTTCGTTTCGGATCTGAGTCGACACCCCCCGGCCATACCAACTTGGCATTCCAGGAAGACGAAATCTGCGCTGCGATCGCCGCTGCGGTCGCACTACCACCCACTAACCTAGACAGCATCTTACCGGAACATGCTGATCTCAACAAACAAGACCGCATGGATCTAAAATCCCTGCTGGCAACCTTTGAGGATGTTTTTGCTTGGGACGAACGCTCGTTGGGGCGTTCAAAACTTGTAAGACACACTATCGACACTGGCTCCGCAAAACCTGTGTGGCAGCCCCCACGACGGATCCCGCCACATTTTCAGACGGAGGTGAACGAAATGATACAGACGATGCTTGATGCAGGCGTGATACGCCCTTCGCGCTCACCCTGGGCATCTCCAGTGACCCTGGTGCCGAAAAAGGACGGGAAACTACGCTTTTGTATCGATTATCGCCGTCTTAATGCTGTCACAACTCGCGACTCTTTTCCGCTTCCGCGAATTGATGTTACTCTAGATGCACTTGCGGGGGCACGGTGGTTCTCCACACTCGACCTCAAGGCAGGCTATTGGCAGGTCGAAGTTGAACCCCAAGACAGACCGAAAACAGCCTTCATCCTTCCTCAAGGCCTTTTTGAATTCGAAACTATGCCATTCGGCCTTTGTAACGCTGCCGCAACATTCCTACGTCTAATGCAATCGGTATAAGCGCACTTATACCCTAGCCGCTGTTTGATTTATCTAGACGACGTCATCGTCTTTGGGAAGTCCATCAGTCAACATAATGAGAATTTGAGAGCCGTTCTAATTGCACTTCGCGACGCTGGACTTCGTTTAAACCCCCAAAAGTGCATGTTCCTACGTAACAAAGTGACCTTCCTCGGACATGAGGTTAGCACGGCGGGCATACATGCTTCCGCGGATAAAATAGATGCTATCAAAACGTGGCCAATTCCAACGACGGCAACCGAGGTTAGAGGTTTTATCGGCCTAGCCTCCTACTATCGACGTTTCATTCTTCATTTTGCAGACATAGCACGCCCCGTGCACCGCCTCACTGAGAAAGGACGAATATTTAAGTGGACAGCGGAGTGTCAGACCGCATTCGATGAGCTTAAAACACGGCTTACTACAGCTCCTATTTTGATGTTACCCAACACGCGACTCGACGCTCCTCTATTTATCCTCGATGCTGACGCTAGTGGGTTTGCCATAGGCGGCGTCCTATCCCAGTGCGATGAGACAGGAACCGAGAGACCGGTGTGCTTCGCGAGTAAAACCCTAACAAAACCACAGCGAAATTATTGTACTTATCGTAGGGAACTACTCGCACTAATTACGTTCATGAAGCAGTTCAAACCTTTTCTGATAGGTCGCCACTTCATCATCCGTTCGGACAATAAGGCCTTACAGTGGCTGCAGAATATTAAGGACGCCGAAGGTCAGCTTGCGCGATGGCAAGAGATACTGCAACAGCTCGATTTTAGTTTTCAGTTCCGTACGGGAAAGAAACACGCCAACGCGGATGCTATGTCTCGCCACCCCGCCGACGTAGGTATCGATCTGCCAGCTGAGGATTTCCATTTCATATCCGCTCTTACCATCAGTGAGCCGACCCGCCATCATTGGGCTATCGCTCAAAGCACGGATCCCGATACAGCCATAGTTTATGATCACCAGCTCAACGGGAGACATCGCCCGACCGACGCCGAACTGCGTGGTTCATCTGATTCTGCGCGCATCATCCGCAGTCATTGGGCCCACCTACTCATGGAAAATGACCTACTTTTCTTCAAGGACGACGCACAGAGTCAACCTCGATTGGTTGTCCCCGGCGGCCTAGTCCGGCCTATTCTGGATGATCTGCACCGCGAACTCGGCCATGTAGGTCATGTGAAAACAGAGGCGGCAGTGAGGCAACGGTTCTGGTGGCCACGCCTCAGAGAACAAGTCTCTATTTTTTGTAACACCTGCCCCACGTGTGCCACCTTTAAAGGACCCAAGCCCCGACGCCGTGCCCCCCTCCAACCTATGGTGACAGGGTTTCCATTTGAACGCGTGGGCATCGACGTGATAGGACCCCTACCTATCACCTTGACAGGCAACCGCTATATTTTAGTTATGGTCGACTACTTCACTAAGTGGGCAGAGGCAGTCGCCCTTCCACGACAGGACGCAGCATCAGTCACGACCGCTCTCCTCACCACTTGGATTTGCCGCTTCGGAGCCCCCATCTCCTTACATTCTGATTGCGGAGCGAACTTCGAGAGCCGGCTAGTGCGCGATGTCTGCAACCTACTCCAAATCCATAAAACACGCACTACACCGGCTCACCCCGAAGGGAACTGCCAGGTGGAACGAACGAACCGGACCATTGTTAACCTGTTGAAAGCTTTCGCGGAAGACCACAACCCCCACAACTGGGATGTTCGGCTGCCATACGCCATGATGGCTTATAGATGCGCGGTCCACACCTCGACTGGCTACGCCCCCTGCTTCATGCTAACCGGACGTCATTTCCGGTTACCGTCGGACTCTCAGCTTCCACTCCCAACCTGCGACGACTATCAGCCAGATGCTTATGTCCTAGAGCTGCAGGAAACCTTGAGGACTACGCACAACCTAGCGCGAACTCACCTAGAGTCGGCATATACGCGACAGAAGGCCTACTTTGACCAGCACGTCAGCGGCGCGCCATACGCCCCAGGCGACCTGGTACTACGCTACCGTCCTACTCCACCGGTGGGGACATCGTCAAAGTTCTTCCATCCGTGGGAAGGCCCCTTTGCCGTCACTGACTTCTTTCCCCCATCTACTTACACAATACGTGACGCGCAGTCGACCGGAGGCCCTGTCCTTACTGTCCACTATGATAAACTCAAGCCTTATAGGGGCCGGCTACCCAATGCGACCGCCGATTCCCTACCCATCCTTCCCCCTCACTTAGTCCCTCAACCCTCCGATGAGGTGGAAATCGCCAGCAGTCCCTCCCAGGCAGCGCCTCTGAGGACAGAGGCGCCTCTTGAGAGGGGGGGCGTGTAGAAGGACGTATTGACCTTGTTGTTTTAATGTGTCCTGCCTGGGGTTTTTCCCGACCGTTATGATTGATTTGGTGTTCTGAACGTGCTTTTTTAGTGACTGCCGTGGAAGAGAGCGAGGGGGCCAGTCGAGGGACCGCCCGTGAGGAGGAAGACGACGAGAGAACGGCATAGGACTAATTATCTCAGCTGATATAAATCTTCCAATAAACTTTTCCCACCGCCAATCTATTCTATTTGTGCTCGCTTGCTCTTACAAGTGATGAATTCGATGTGCGCTAATTTTCAGGGTTCTCGCCGAGCAGACTCTTGATCGGATAAGAACACCAAGGAAGCCTCTACAGATTGTCGTCAAGAAGGAGAAGACGACAAGTGTCTACCGTCGAGTGGCCCGAGTACTACAGCTTATTGTGAGATTTTTTAATGTCGTGAAATGGCCGTTCATAAAACGTCATGCCTCTGTAGTTACTAGTGTTGCTTGCAAAGTCAATAATATGGCTCAAATCCACTACTAAATTTTACGAACCCCATATAATATCCTCTGAAAACCGTAGATAAATTTACGGTTTTCCATACGCGGAAAATATACGGCTTGCATTTTGGAAACCTTGGATGCAAGTGTAGCGGCAGTTCGAGTTCAGAATTATCCAAGAATTGGAAAAATTTTAAAAAACAGAATTAAATCCCTTCTTCGAGCATAAAATGGAAAAAAGGACGCAATTTTCTACCGAATGAGAAAAATAATGAATATTTTTATGCTGTTTTCTATTAAGTATAGTTGACTTTTTAAGGACATCGGAAATCAAGAAGAAAATTTCACGTTGCTTAAATAGTCATTTTTTACAGAGTGTATTTCTTGCATGCAGCCGAAAAGAAGTTTGTTTGAAAGCCGGCATCCTGAGGTAACTGAATTGTTATAGAATTATGCTGCAAGATGATTGGTTTTACAACCTTACTTAATTAATCCTTTCGAAACAAAAACGCATTTCGGAAATCCGGTGGACATTTCATGAGTCAGCCCACCTACTGTAAGTCTTATTAGCTCAAAACAGCATAGTATACCAACATTTGCAAAGACATCGGGACATTTCATGCGGCATTTCTGTTGCTCTCTTGCTTTAAAAGATCAAATGGTTCATTGCATTCCTCCGTGACACTTTCTTTAGACACGAAGTGACTCAACAGATGACCATTTATACTGCTGCAGCAGATCGCATATTACCATCTTGGCTTGACGCGGAGTTGCCACAAACGCAGGCAAGTGAAATGAGGACTAAGATGGGAATTTAAACGTAAGTTACACTGTGAGCCAAAAATAATTCAACGTTACGCTGAGAGGAATAACTGGAGTTGAAAAATACACTAGAGTTTATGGAGTCCGCGCAAATACTCATATCAATTTTTGAGGCTCATCTAAGGGAGTTTAAGCTAAAGAAATCACCCCAAGTGCATGCATTACTTTCTGAGACTAGCAGAAACCTTCATAATAACGTATTAGTTTGCCATAATTTGTCGATCTGTCTTTTTGATTAAGACATAGAGTTTGTTTGAGGACAATGGATTGAATTCAGCAGACGTTTAATTTAGAGGCAGTAAAACAATGTCTTTCAGAAAATTTCGATTAAGCTCATTTAAAAATACGATGTAGTACCTTATTCTTAGCGGTTAAACCAAAATATGTTCCGAAACTAATGAATGATTGTCACTCGGATTCGATACACATTTTCCCTAGGAAAGTTATCTGGGTGACATTGCAAAAGGAAGTCCAGAATATAATACATTACAGGAAATATCCTGGAAAGTGTTCCTGATTTTGATAGCACATTTTCCCAGTCGACTTTCCGCTTATATTTTGTACTTTGTAAGCTTAAGTAGTATGTGTTTCCACCACTAATTTTCTATTCATACGCACACTTCTTGGATGGGCTGCAAATGATTAATTTTCTGCCGCGTCATAGGGGAACGCGTTCTACGCAAATGCTATTCCTTAAGGAGAGGATAATTTTATTTTAAGCAGCATTTATTCGGGCCAATATGTTTTACATGGCAGGTCTAATTTACATTATCTTTCCATGACTCCAAAAGCTTAGTCGTGTGTTTCCTTGCGGCTTGCTCACACAACTGCGCCTCCTTTTGCTTATAAGAAGTTTGAGATAATATAAGGCACTAACTTACTGCGGAATCAGCAGTATGTAACTTCAAAGGTGTGTCCTACAGGTAAGAATTATGCTGTATCCTCAAGCTCCTCATGTTTTCAAACATTCAGTTAGATTAGTGGATGAAACATTTGTGCTTAGTTTTTCTGAAAACTAATAGGTACTATGTCACTATCTTAATGCAGTAGAAAAACGAACACGCACTGCGCAGTTGTATCTTCATATTAGCTGCAAACAGGCTCATTAAATATCAGGAATGCTACCGAGTACAAACTGTCTCAAAACGCTTTCGCTCGTTAATCAATTTCGAAACCTGAGGCGTGCGAATTTTAGTTATAGGTAAAGTGGCTAGGTGTTTTTCCGTAGAACAAAGATATCTTGCGCTACGACTGCTTCTGTAGTATATACAGTGAGTGACCAATCTTATGTAGTGTTGGCTGAAATTCTGAAATGCGTTTTCAATCGGGAAGGATTACTTAGACGTTGTTGTAACATTGATTATTTTGCAATATTATCCTATAATATTTCGAACTCGGCAGGATGTCGGCTTTTGAATGCGCTGCTTTTTAATCTCCTGTAGAGACCAAACTTGGCAAAAAAACGACTGCTTAAGTAGCGTGTATTTTTCACAAAGATTTTCGATGGTCTTGCAAATTTCAATATATTTTAAAGAACCTGCGAACAAAATGTGCTTTCTTTCAGTCGATTGACAGAGAAACACCTCATCTTTATATTTTATCCTTAAAGAAAAAGTAAAAGTAGGTTTTAGGAGAGTTTCTAATTATGATATTTTGAAGGCTGTTCAATTTCCATGCATGCAGCATCGTAGCAATCCGGTTGCTACTGCTCCTCATGAAATGTACTAAATGGTCTCAAGCTATTGCAAAATTTTATGGGCTCTCTATAGTATTTTTTTAGAAGGCATAAAAGAATGTGTGATTTTCTTTACGCGGAACGCATGCACCTTGCGGATTGAAATCACTAAGCACTAATGCAACGATTAATTAGGCTCCAAATTATTCAGCATTTAAAAAACCTTTTTAAAATCTAATTCTAATCCTTCTTTAAGGATAAAATACAAAGATGAGGTGCTTCTTTGCCAAACGACTGAAAGAAAGCATGCTTTGTTCGTAGTTTCTATAAAATATATTTGAATTTTCAAGACCATCAAGAATCAATGGAAACAATTTCTACTACTTAAGTAGCCATTTTGTTACCGAGTACGGTTACTGTAGAAGCTTAAAAAACAGTGTATTCAAAAACTGACATCGTGCCGGGTCTGAAATATTATAGGATGATGCCGCCAGATAATCAAAATTACAACCGCTCTTAAGTAATCCATCCTAATCGAAAACGAATTTCAGGATTTCAGCCAACATTTCATTAGATTGGTCACTCACTGTACATTGAGATTTACCATTATGTGTGACATAAAAGTTACTGCGTTTGAAAACAATTTGCGGTTTTTAGCCACAAGCACTGTAGCATGCACTGTAGCTACATGCAACGATGACCGCAAGAGACGCGTTCAGTACTTTGAGACCTTTGGGCTGCGCATAAATGATAGGCATGAACTAAAACGCATGTGTGTCTCATTTAGAATTGAACTCTTCGTCAGTCAGGCGCATAAACATAAGTACAAATTGTCAGAAGCGCTCCTTGTCTCTGTGAATGCAGACGCGATACATGTGGACTCCCCATGTCGCTTACGGTTTGCTGATCATACGTTAGTGTTTGAGATAGCTGGTCAGTCTATGCACGCCCACACCTGTCTGTGTTAAAAGGCGCCACTTTAAAATAAACTGTAGGTTTTTAAGATAATGTGTTAGAATGCTAGGAAATAAGTTTTCTTATGAGAAATTACCAATATTATTTTATGTCTTAAGCAAATTTCCGTAAATTCGATTTCAATGCTTGGTAATTCGTACTTCATAAAACAACTTTATCCAAAAATATATACATTAATTGTTAAGGCATTAAAGAGACCATTTAGCATGCATTTACTTTGTTTCTGAAAAACGGGACATCGAACTAGCAAAAAAGGTAAATTTAATTGAAATAATAAGGTGAAAACAGATCATAATAAAACCGCTTTTATTAATTTCTTTACAAACGGCCTAGAATATGGTCCATTTTTCATCAGCGTGTAGTAGATAATAATAATCACACAACAATTTGACCTTGGTCCTTCTTCCAACCAAATGTACAAAAATGTTCGCATACTACGCCACCCATTCTTGCGTAATGTCTAACCAACGGCCTTACTACTATATCAAACAAAAATGTTGCCGTCTTTAAAGTCGTTTATTTTCTGCCTGAATCAGGCAAGTATTTTTTCGATAGTAGTGAACATGTTCCGCCAGATTCTATAAAAAGCATGGTTAAAATTTGGCACCACGAACCATACGCTTACGTTTGCCTAGCATACTACATGGTAGTTACGTAACCAATAATAGAGCGTAAGTAATACAGACCAAGAAAAGGCCAAACAACGGTAAATAAATGTCTCCTTTCTATTTGGAATATCATTGCATTTTATTTATCTGTAAATGTAACTTTATTGGGATAGTTACTTTGCTACATGAGTACACGTATTATCTTTAAAAATAAAGCCCTATCGAGCCAGTAAACTATCGATTATATATACTAAGGACATAAACGAACCGTGCTCATTACGGTCCTCCAGTTGGCTAATTTTTTTAAAATTAACGTCCGTTTTCTCTAGCAAAGACTAATTTCCTTGCTTTACGCCACCGTATTTTAAAATATGACATTTGGGCAGCAAGACTCTTAAAGTACCTGATGTTCCGTTTCCTTAATAACAAAGAGGAAACATTGAGAATTTAGT